AACAGTTTATTCAGTTCTTAGCTTGATTATGATATTATTATATAACGAAATTACGAAACTCTACTCTCCATTTCATATTTAACCTATTTTACCATAGTAACAAAAACTGACTTTTTGATGTAATGGCGTAGATCGAATGAACTTCAATATTTAGATCAATCTGTCATTGACGAAAATGATACTTTTGACGTTATAATTTTTTGTTAGTCTTTCAACCAAGACCAGAAAAGTTTGCTTTTTTTAACCATAAATAAAAGCTTCCTAAGAGACTTACATTCTGCGTGTTGCGTTCCACTAAACCACTTTGCGCAGGAAAAACAACTTCCTTGTTTTGACGGCGACAAGAGAGACGTTACTTGTCTGGGCATGATAGACAATTCGTTTCTACTACTGCGACACGTGTCACGAGACTCAAACTGACACAATTTGACAATGGACTAGGGAATGCTTTACAGGTGATTTGATAATAATAAAATCGCCTCCTGTGTTAACATCGGCGCCGGGTTTTGCACGGCTGAGATCTGATGAAGAAGCAAAATTCTTGTGTAGCCCACAAACATTAAATGATTTTCTTGTGGTTGGTTTTTTCTGACTAAGGGTATTATTACTTAGGATATACTTTACATTGCATCCGGCGTCACGCGTCTTCAGGGTTTCAGTAGTTGAAAGTTTAAGAAAATGTTTCCATATAAGGTAATTAAAGGAATAGTGCGATTTATTTCGCTACTCCTGACCTAAAATGTGCCTCGTAAGCACATTAATTTTGTATTGATGAGTCGCAAAATTTCAAGTTCCTGTTTACGATCTGGGTGCCCCCACAGTAGCAGATGGGACATCTCCTGGCTTTTTACCCTTGCTAACGTCTCGATCGATTGACCAAATTGAACATCAGGAGAGGGCAACAAGAAACTCTACAAACAAGGTAGAACTTCTTAAGTAAGAAAATCTAATGCCATGTAATCGGACGCTCCCAAAACTTTTAAATGATCACCTAAAGAACTTCGTGGTAAAATGTTTCCGCATCGATGGAAAGCCCTCTGACATTTACCGTGGTGTAGTAAATAATCATGTGTCTGGCCTGAAACGATCGGTTGATTCCATGGCATATGTCGCTACCTAAATGCAGTTACACAAACTTTAAAAAAAACGATTATCATTTTTACCCAGTGTCCTTTAGCTAAAAACTCCTTCATGTATTTTATAATCAGTATCCTAGGCCGGAGAAGCCTCTATTGTGTTACCTGATTGGAGAGATACGGTGAAGTTTTTTAGCACTACACTTCACTACATTTAAAAAAAACCTCAAAAGACAAAAAAAGCATTCAGATGTTCATGAAAAATCAGTTTATACACACGATCAAATGTTAGTAGAGAACAATATAGAGCTACCCATGCCAGAACTCAGAGGCTTTTCTCTGTTTGTTTTGACTAGTGTTAATTTCTCAACCTTGCGGTAATTTAAGTAATTTCCTCATGCCTTTGAATAAGCTGTTGACATTGTCAACAAAGCGGAGCGGTTTTATTGTTTCCCTTCCACTTGAGAAGTTCGAAACACGAGAGCAGAAGAAACAGAGACATCTTCCTTCTGAAAGCAGAAAAAAAATTTTACTCGGAATTCTATCGATAGAGGGAAGCAATAGCGTGAAACAGTCTATCTAGTAATGATCTGGCAGCCAAAAATATGAAAGAATTCAATCGTGTATCAAATTAGCAACAGTCGGCGTCATGTTAAACATGGACTTTGCCTATGAATATTAACAAAATTTTTGTTTTAAAATTTGAAAGCGGGTAAATCAAACAGGTAGATCGTTAGGAATGTATATACCACAGTTTAAGTTTCATAGACACTGCATTCGTAATTAGGTGAACTGGAGTTTTGCTAACGAACGTAATTATTTTAAATACACGACCCCACCAGAAATGCTGAAAAAACTCACCCCTAAATTAAAAGAAATATTCCAGTTGAAAATAAAGCAGTCTTGGACCCGACTATTTAAAGTTCTACCGCCCCCAAATTAACATTGGTTCACAGATAAGAGTAACGCTAACTTTTAGTGGGACAGCCATTCCGTTTCCTTTGAAAGCGAACTGCGCGAGGAGATGTGGAGAAATGGAGCAAACAAAGGGACAAGCAAAAGGAAGATCAGACGAGCCTTGTTGTCCTCTCCTGTTCATTTTATTATCAGTTTTCTAGGCAGAAGAGGATTGCCATTCAGTAAGGAAGACAGTAAGCTGTGTTTCCTGATAGTGATGTGTTTCGGCGGACCATAGAACCCTCTAAAAGCTTTCCGAATTTTGTTTTCACTTTCAAATGTTTTCCCATCATTCGTGAAGTTTAACTCATTTCCTTAATAACTTGTTGACATTGTCAACAAATAGGCGTTTTTATTTTTTCCCAGGGCGAGCTTAGGTCACTTGAAAATATCAGTTTCAGTCGTACGCACTTTTTTCAGTCAGCTGTAATATTAGTCTGTACGCATTTATCATCGCCCCGCTGTAAACATGAGTTGTTCTGTTCAACGCACCCATTCTAACGGTTGTTTTCAGTCGTACGCACTTTTTTCAGTCAGCTGTAATATTAGTCTGTACGCATTTACCATCCCCCGCTAATAACGGTTGTTTTCAGTCGTACGCACTTTTTTCAGTCAGCTGTAATATTAGACTGTACGCATTTATCATCGCCCCACTGTAAACATGAGTTGTTCTGTTCAACGCACCCATTCTAACGGTTGTTTTCAGTGATACTCTGTCATGTGAACAAAGAACGACTTTCGTTTGCTAAAATTATAATTAGTTTATCCATTGTGCGCACTTATTCGGTAAGTTGGCAAGTCATCAAGCAATGAATTTCAGCTAAAGGAAATTGTTTGTTAATGACCACGTGATCGTCCCTATCTGCTTTGATAATAGGGAGGTTTTTATAACTCAACCGCGTGACTAAATCTAAGAGGAAGATTCAGTGAACTTCAATTGCAAGCACTTGATCCTGATCTTGCAAAAGAAGGCTGTTTATAAGGTACTTGTGAAGAAACATGTCTGTCTCTTAAGTATCAGGGCAGTTAATGGGAATTTTTAGGGTTTGATTTGGCGCTTATTCGAAAATGACTTTTGTATTAAATCAACAAAGTCAGGCGTACTCAAGAAGATAACATGCATTCATCAAGAGTTAATGTTACGTGGTCGAGCGCGATACGTGGGTTATAACCGAGAAACAAATATTTTCTCACCCGGTCCACTTCAACTCAGCTAATAAGTATTTTATGATAATGATCATCGCTTTTCCATTATCTTCCTCTCCTCTATCAGCTCGGCATTTTGTGAGACCGTCTCCCTTTATTCGGCTCTGCTGACGCCATCACGTACGGCCCTTATATAAGGATTCTTGTCTATATTTCCAATGCAAACGCGTGAGGCCGTTCAAGTCACATGATGAAGACCAGGAAAAACTATTTCATTTCCCATTTCTATACATTCGTGATCATAAAGGCGTTCTCTTAGTTGCCCATTTGCCGTGTGCACTCGACGATTTTAGACTATACAAGTAGGTAGGCCGATTCTTTCCGTTTTACCTTCTCTGGAAATTAAGAGGGTCTCAATAGGGTGATGGATTTTACGGCTAACGGCTAGGGAAAAATTTGGCTAATATACGGCTCACTATAGTTGTCAAAGAAAGTGTGTTTTTACAGTCATCTTTTTTTTTTTTTCTAAGATTGACGATAAAAAATTGTCAGGTTTGATTTTTTGGCCGTTTTTCGGTGAACGGTTAACCCCATTGAGACATTGTTTGAGAGGAGAAAAGAAATTACGTCTAACCTCTGGCAGCGAAACTCATTGACAGAACATATCAATCGAGGTGTAAGGTCATTAAGAAAATCATTTACTTTGTAGGAAGTCTAAGCCCTACAATAAGTTTCGCTCTGCCAACAAAGATGAAAGTGAATGAAAAACATTAAAACCATCTGTGTTCAGAAATTGTGCAACGGTTTAAGTTTGGGAAACACTGAGTTTTTATAAGAGCAAAGTAGTGGAAATTTCATGATTTCCCGCGCCTCACGTGCCACCGGAGTAATGAAAATATTTCATGACAGCGACAAGGGAGAAGTTGTTTGTCTGGGCGTGAAACATAAAGTTCGTTGTTCGTGAGCGCCGGTCACGAGAGTTTTTATCCAGGTTTCAGCAATGACTATCTTTTGTCTTTGTAAAACTTAAGACATTTTCGTCAAGGACTCTTTATACATTGTTGAACTGAAGACGTCTAAGACATTGCTGAAACAATTTAGCAATGGACCAGAGATTACCTTGCAGGTGATTTGATAATAATAACGTCGCCGCTTCCTCTTTCGCTTTGTTTGGAACGTACTATCAAGTTGCTGGCGGTGGAAAGACTGGACAAAAACATCAAGCCCTGAAAAGTTAACAAAGCCTCGACGTATTGAAACTCTAATGAAATAAGTTGGAATACTGGAGTGAAGGGAAAAACGAGGCTGTAATCAGATCTTATCGCGATCGGATCCTCAACAGGTATTGCTGATCACCTGAAGTGAACTTCAAGTGTGACAAAATTATTTTCGGTAAATTAATTTTTTCAGCATCGCCTGATGAACCTGAAACGATCGTAGGACTCTTTATTTTTTTAAGGGCTTGAGTTTGGTTGGAGTAACTTTACAAAGCATAACAACTTCTTTAAGTTTTTTATTTTTTATTGAACTTTATAAGCAGGAAAAGGTTACCATTGAAGCGATTTCGAAGGCCTTTTTCTTTTCCTTTTCTGATGGCTAGAGGGTGAATAAAAGTTTGAACAGGCAATGTTTTTGTAGTTAAAAAGAAGATATCTTAAACACCGTAATGTCTACCAGTAGATGACATTGCGATTGGAAGCCTTCCAACCGCAAAGACTACCACTTATCTATTGCCGATCGTCGTGACCCAGTAGGTCATGTCCCTCCGGATGTTGATTGAAGGGAATTGAAATATCAAACCTGTGAAACCAGTCAGTCACACCGAAAAGTAACCAACCAAGGAACATCTACATCTTGAAGTTTTGTAAAACCTGCCGTTAAGGACTCTTTGAATTATCATACAGTAAGTACCACTCTCTCTCCCTTTCTTCTTTCGTTTTAACTGAGAGAAGAGAAATCATTCTACATTTACATAAAATTATGTACGAGGTTTGATTGCCTGGAGATCAGACACGGCAGCGAAAGTTATTTTCGCAAATTACTGTTTTGATGTGAGGTTGGAATCCTTGGCGTTCTTTATTTTTTTCTATTTTCTCTTAAAACTTAAACTGTCGTCCGTCACTGAAGGGAGTTGACTTGTTAAAGTGTTTCAGCAAACAAATTTAAATTCTTCACGGAAAAGGTGAATGTTTTCTATGAGCATATGCCACGTGCTCTAGGGCCGCAAAACTTCTTCGTCATTACAATATGAAACTGTAGGCTTATCAAAATCTGCCGCTGATATAAAAAGCAACCAAAAATAGAGAATAATTTTTTTTGCTATGGAAAGAAATAGATCTGTTACCATGCACATGCGATGCACTGAAGACAAACACAGCGGCGGAAACAACAACATTTAATAAGTCACTATGCCTCAGCTCATGGTAAATTCTGGTTTTATCTAATTCTACAGGGAATACATTTCCGAAAAAAACATTAATTGTGGCTTAATTTTCAAACGACCCAGACCTTGACAGGGTTTAAGCGCGGCCTCAAGCAAATATTGCGAGTCAACAGTGGCACTAAGCGTTGCTTAGAAATCCTGCAACCCGCCTCTCATTGAAAACTCCTGTTTGCTTTATGGGCTTGAAGGCATTTGTAAAGTTTATATCTTAACAACAGTATAACGGGTGTTGGCCAGTTTATTCCGTCTTTTTTTTAAAAATATTTTTCACTGCTTGATTTTCGAAGCCATTGATATCGTGCTTTAAATACACAGGCGGCAAATAAAAAGAGAGGCTTTCAGTTTTTCCGGAGTCAGTGACCACCGGAAATGCGCCATTGAGCTTAGCAACCTCGATAACAGGAAGAAGACAATAAATAATGACTGTCCATAAAAAACGTTCGGAAGTGATGTTCAGCCTTTCCGATCAAGAAACGCTTCTGATTTTGTCTTTAAATAAACGTTATGGTAAATTCGATTAATTTTGATCTCTAGAACAAAATTTGAACCAATAACACGAGCGGAACTGGAACAAGACATAACGGAGGCTGTAAAGTGTTCCACCTCATTAAAAGTCCTTAACATCACTCTATAGCACTATCACTCTAGATACTACGAGCCCCCTCATAGATCAAACACCTATCGTTTATTGCACAAGCAGACCTAGGGGAAACTGAAACATACGGTATTTTGCTTTTCAGTTTATTTCGTAAAAGAATAAACCACCATTTTATCGGTTTAACCCACTTGGAATGTTGGGAGAACATTCAACGTTCTCCCAACATTCTAAGTGGGTTTTTCCGCCTGTAAACCGAAATAAAGTACGGTCTATTGCACAACAAAACTAGGAGCGCCACTGGGAGCTGTTATTGAAAGGGTGTATGCTCGAATGCAATTTTTTGGTTTACTGTTAGGTGGGAAGATACACGCTGAACGAGTGGGAGAAGGGTAGTCAAAATTTTAAATGTTCAGTAAACTCGCTGCTATCATTTAAAATATGTACCTTGCATTGCATGTCATTGAAAGGGTTGTCTTTTGCGCACCAATAGTTTTAGTATTTGTTGTAAACATTCCTTGATCAATATTCATTGATCATTCCCAGATGTCTTTTTCCAAGTTCGTATCCCCTTGTCACGGTGACAGTATTGCGATATACAACTCTACCAGCGGAGCGGTCAAGTGTCAGGCCTGTGTTAAATGCCCCCAAGGACGAGGCCTCTCTGTGCAATGCAGTTCTGTTCAAAGCCCAGAGACACCCGTAGTTTGCGAGCCATGTGTGCTTGGGAAAACGTACTCCTCTGGAAAAGACGCCGGGGCATGCATGAGCTGTGAGAATTGTGAGGAGTATCGCGAAACCATAAAAGCCTGCACTCTGACTTCCAAGGCAGTGTGTGGAAAGTGTAAGCCTGGCGCTTACCAAGATGACCGCCTAACACAATTGTGCCAGCCCTGCTCCCGCTGTTGTGATGATCAAGATGATCTAGTCGAGCCGCAGTGCCAAGAAATGCTTGAAAACAAGCGGTGCAGTTTTCACAGATCACACGTATGCAGCAAAGTTATAACTCGTACAAATTTCAGCTCAGTCAGCTCTGTGGAAACAAACCACACAGTATCACTGGTATTGGTGCCGTCTCCCACAAGCCAAGTAACCGCCTCATTGAGCATGCGCACTGCATATCAGAAGACCCCGGTGGCTGATCGTCCTTCGAGAGCCGCAATCATTGGTGCTGCTGTTGGTGTTCCATTAGCTGTAGTCCTGTTGCTGTTGGTCATTTGCTATTTTCTTAAAAGAAAGAGTAATCACCGAGTAAATAAGAGGGTTAATGACGCCGAAAGGTCGCAAGAAACACGTGGCAAAGAAGAGTCTTGTGGAATTGATTTAGAACAGTTGAACACAGAAAGGTTACAGCCAGTAGACGATAGTAACGCCACATCGCCAGGGACCAAGGAAACTCAAATACTTGGCCAGAACAGTACAGGTCAGTGAACCTACATGACTAATCAAGCTTTGAACATGATTTTCACTGAAAGCATCATAGGGAATGCTCTCAGCTTGATATCTCCTTTTTTTTACTCAAATATTTCCAGATGTCTGCAAGCTATCAATAGAGGAAAGTGAGGCTACTTCGCCAAGTGTCCAAGAAACTCTGCCACCGGACTACAACAACACAGGTAAACCCTTTGTGCGATCTAAGCACTAGTTACGATGTTTTCAAACGTGCTCTTTATAGAAGACAGTCTGACCAATCTCCTTGATTTATCTTTTTATCATAAACTTCCTTTGGTCTACATGCCGTAGAGGCTTATGGGAAATAAGAAAGTCATCAGAGGGGGCATCCAGGTCGTGTATATTTTCATGAGTAGGGTTCCAAAATTACTTCTTCCCCCAGATGGAGGGGGTCCAGTAAATCCTTCCCCCCACCCACCCGCCCCTTCCTTAATTCGAGTGATAAAATCATTACAACTATTGGAGTATAAACTTTAGAGATACCCGGCAATAAGGTAAGGTCGTTTATGGTCAAAACAACGACGATGATCACATCCGAGAGTTTGAGAAATTTGAAAACAAAACAATAAAAATCTTAGGTTTTTTTGTCAGTTCATTGTTACTAAGTGGTTTACAATAAAGAGTGTATATACCTGATTTGTGAGTTGTCTTTTTTTCTGTCTCCTATCTCAGAGCACCAGCTGTTCAAGAAGGCTCCCAAAGACAACAGTTGTCACACTGTGGTGAAGACGACCACTATAAACACCGTGACCTACTGTTCAACTTGTAGTTCTGGTCCAGAATCTACAGGGTATGGAGAAGAATGAAGAGCGGTTGTATAGATAATAATACTTCAGGTTTTCAGTCTCGAAACTCGATGACACCGGTTTTGTATCCATTTGAATGTGTTCATTTTCCGTCGGGTGATGATCTCACAGTGTCTGAAACGAACGAACATTTATGACAAAGCGATACTCTGTTAATGAATACCTAGCAGGCTAGGGGACCGTTTCTCGAAAGTCCTGCTGAATTAACACGTCCGAAGCCTCATATAAAAATCAAAATTTAAGGAATAGAGAGGCTGATCATTTCACCCTAACCTGTCCATCTTGTTTCTTTAGCTGATAGTTTTATTGTATAATTTTTAAACAATTTTAAAACTTCCATCTAGAATAAAAACATAACAGCTATATAGGCCCGTTAATTTACCGGGACCTTCGAGAAACGAGCCCCCCTACTTAAACTAGACGGAGTGCTATGCGTTTTAAATTAACAACAGTTCTTTAAATACTGTGAGTCAAACTTTGCTTGATATTTAAATGAATTTCTTTGGTCCTCCACTGAGCTATAGGAGACTCGCGGCAGGCTTGGCTGTTGCTAGGATAGAATTGTATATGTAATGTTTATGCGCAATGATTATATAAATGAAGATAGTAAATTTTATGCCTGGTGATTTTAAGTGAACGTTAATGTTAATCAGTAAATGACACTGGCATATTCGGAGACTGAACATAATTTCTTTGGGAATAACTCTTCTAGTCATTCATGGTATTAATTGGTCTCTAACGGATTCAGTTAAGTTTTTTGCCATTTGGATAAATTTTGAAATATGCAATTTACTGCTTGATCGAAATTGGGGCATAACTGTATCGCATTGTCCAATGCAAACTGTATAGTTTCAACTTATTTATGTTTATTTTTTGAAAAGCATACTTTAGGAAAAAAAAGTGCATAGTTTTCGAAAAAAAAACATCATATTGAGCATGATTTGGAAAAAACTGAGCAATGCTAATTGCATAATATGCTACTTCTTTTAGGGTCTAGTCCCTTTCCCGTGTTAGAACGTAATGGTTTTGGGTTACCTTGCATCTAGAGTTTATCTTAAGAGCGATTTTGAATAAAAAGCTTTGTAGTTAATTTCTATGGAACAGTCGCTGCCTGTTTTTGTCTCTTAGGGGCTTACAAATATGCCATACCATAATTTGAACATAAAATTGCGCGCTTCTGATTGGCTGACAACGAGTTAACGCTTTTATGAACGACAACGAATAAATGCAATATCGTCAGGGAAAAAAGAGGACGAACTTAACACGGCTATTTCGGGATGGAAATTTAGTTCGCGCATGCGGTCTACACGAAACATCGAGTTAAATATTACTTCTCTGGTTAATACCAAATTATGTATTTGCATAAATCTAGCGTCCATGGCAACCTCTCGGGCTAAGATCTAGTTTAGCCAATGAAATCTTGCTGCGTATGTAATGTATTAGAGCGAAAGGTCCCAATTTTTTCCAGCCAACCAAGAGTCACAATTTCAAGCAAAACAGTCTGTAAACGACTGGAAAGCTTTAGTTTTGGTTCCAAAGAGTGCGGTAACACTTTTATTCGTCTAAATTAGAACTTGAGCAAATAAATTATGCTAGATTTACCTGCATAGTACTCGTTCTTAGTCAACGAACCGATACATTGCTAGTGAAAAGGAAAGAGTTTTATTCCCTGGTTTTTCGTTTTAAGTTTGGGAACTTTCCCCGTCAGTTCCGCACTCGTGGCAATGTAGTGGTTGACAAGGATTTAACGTAATCTCGTGTCCTTTTTCCCCACATGGTCAAAATGCTGGGACTGGGTATTAAAATTCAGAGTGTATTCCTTCAAATCCTTCTTCACCTTAGAATCCAAGGCTCATGTGCCATTGTCGAAGAAAAGGGCAAACATGTCCTTCTAGCAAATGGAGTTCTGGTGTGATCGTCATGTCTGGGAATTTTTCCCTAATGAACTCAAGAAAATTTGTGATGTCTTCCGCTGCAACAAGAAAACAAGAAAATGCGGAACTGACTTAAGGCATGATCTTATTATTGTATTCACGTTTTCCATGAAAGTCAGGTTTTTTCTTTCACGTACCTAGCTTATCAATCTTGCCATCATTGAGATAGTCTGCACTGTCATAGAAAAAGTGGCAAGCAGCAAATAACTTGAAAACTTATTCAAATTAAACACTTATTTCTTTAGCTTGAGGAAGGAAGGACACAGCTCCTCTGTTTTTGTCACCACAGCACTGCATAGTTCGATGATATTGTCTTCCTAAGAAAAAAAAAACCGCAACAATTTTATAAAATTTTGTGACTCATAAAATTCCCTTTCTAAAGGTAGAATTTGTGTTACCTTGCAGCAAGTGTGTACATGGTTACCAATGAATGATTTTCCATGGTAAGCTTGTCTCTCGACATTCATTTACTTGAGAACCTCATCCAAATGAACTGATAGTGGTCCATTGGCTTTCTCAAAGGCAGCCAATTCCATTTGTTCATCCGGAAGCTTTTCTTATAATGTTGAGGTAATACTATTAAAATGAGGGTTATTTGACTACTTAACACTGAATTGGTTCATATGTCAGCGTGCGTTCATCGAGATATGAAGCACGCGGGAAGTTTGGAGAGCACGACAGATGCGTAAGAGTTGCTCAAGGCGTAGCCTCGAGCAACTCTAGCTTCTTGAGTTCCACCACATTGCCAATTGTTTTATAACATTTTCAGCCCGATGGAAAATTTTTTTCTCGAGGGATTTGTTCGCTGACGTCATGTCCTTGCACAATAGGAATATGAAGCACGTTCGCGCAATTGAATTTAAATAGACAAATTTACTAGCTATGTTATAATATAATTTGATGGGTTGTTAAATTCATTTAAGCTAGTGTAATATTATAAATAAATGATCTATAAAACAGAATCATAACTAAAAAATTACGATGGGTTGAAACACGTGTGATGGAATTGGAGGATTGTACAGCTGTGATATTGGAAAACACAAATATATTATTGTTACTTCCTCCTTTGCATTTCCAGGGAGTTTGTCTATCTCCTCTAATAGCAGTGTAAGGTAGGCAGGCATGCAGACTTTGGAAATTCAGTTAGGTTAACTGAATAAGTTAACTTACGGTTTTTTCCGAGTTCCAGAAATATTGTTTGCTAAATCAATAATCTTTCCGAGTTGGTTTAGCGCGCCTACATGCCAGCGCACCAATTAAAGCATCCTGATATCACTTTGATTAAAAAGTTTTAAAACAGATCAAGGATATCATGACCCCCAGCAGATCGCTATTCCATTTGCGATTCGTGTTTTTGGTGGTTTCGGCGAGATAGTCCACGTCACGGCACAGGCAAGCTTGACGATTCGCCACAACATCGAAATATTTCATGTAATCCTAAGAAATTTAATATTCAGCTAGAGCTTCGGATGTTCTGCAAAGCTATTCAACGTAACGCTACGCCATTTGTGAGTACGCTGTACCATTCGCTGAGCCATGTCACGCAACGCTACACTGTTTGTTTGTACGCTGTACAATTCTATATTACACTGAGCCATTTCACGCAACGCCACACCGTTTGTGCGTACGCTGTGCAATTGGACATTACCTCGAGCCATTTGACGCAACTTTACACCGTTTGTATGTGCGCTGTGCTATTCGACATTGCGTTAAGCCATTTGACGCAACGCTACACCGTATGTGTGTACACTGCACCATTCGACATTGCGCTAAGCCATTTGACGCAACGCTACCGCCTTTTGTGTACTGTATTGCAAATGAGTGCTAGACTATTCGCAATTGAGCTTATCCATTTCCAATTTCATGTTCCAACTCGACATAGGCAACTAGACCGTTTATCATTTGGCTAAACTGTTCGTGTTTAGGATGTTCTGTTTCATGAGGGAAAACTAAACCGTCTATAATTTGGCCACGTCATTCCATTATTAGCTTTGCTATTCTGCAGCTGATCCTTAGACCAGCTTTGTGTTTGCTGATCAATTTGACATCCTTGTATTTTTGGTGGTGACTGCTGCCTATATTATTCCATATAGCGTAATGGACTAATGCGATTTATTTCGAAACTCGTGACCTAAAATGTTCTTCGTCAGCATGACACGGGACCAAACATCACATGTTGTATGGATTAGTAGAAACATCTCACTTTCCTGTTTGCGATCTGGCTGCCCACGCAGTGGCAGATGGGACATCTCCCTGCCTTTTTACTCCTACTAACGTCTCGATCGACCAAATTGAGCATCAGAAGAAAACAAAACGAAACTCCAAAAACGAGGTAGAACTTCTTAAGGAAGAAAATCCAATGCCATGTAATCGGATGCTTTTAAAAATTTTAAGTGATCACCTAAAGAACTTCAAGGATAAATTGTTTCCGCATCGCTAGAAAACCCTCTGACATTTACCGTGGTATAGTAGATAATCATGTGCCTGGCCTGAGACGATCGGTTGATTCCATATGTCGCTACTTAAATGCGGTTGCGCAAACTTTGGAAAACACGATTATCACTTCTACCCGGTGTCCTTTAGCTAAATTTATTTTATAATCAGTATCAAAAATTGTTGTTCAAAAATTTGAAGGCAGGTAAACCTAGTCAAGGTCGTAGATCTTTAGGACTGTAAATACCGGCAGTTTAAGTTTCACAGACACTGCATTCGTAATTGGGTGCAAACTGTTGCAGACGAACGTAATTATTTTATATCCACGACTCCACCAGCCATGCGGACGAACCTCATCGCTAAATTAGAAGAACTACTTCAGTTAAAAAGTCCTACCGTCCCCCAAATTAACATTGGTTCATAAATAAGAGTGATGCTAAATTTTGGTGGGGCTTAAAATTTTCCTCTTTCCCACGTGCACCCTCGCGTTTTTTCAACATGATCTATTTTCTGATAATTTTTAGACCAGTACTTAAAAACACCTAAAAGAAATAGAAAACAATTCTACTGATGGCAGACCGTCTAAAGCTCATAAAATCCACAACGACAACAGCAACAATTTATTACAAGTTTCTTAAGTGGGTGCATCACGTTACCTACAACGCTATAACAAAAGATATCGATATAGAAACGCGAACTGCGCGAGGGCATAAGGTAAAGTCGAGCAAATAAAGCGGCAAGCATAAAAAAGGGAAGACGAGTCTTGTTGTCCCCTCTTACATGTAAAGCCAGTTGTTGAGAGCGAATTAATAAACAAGCATGTAAGACCGCTCATGTAGGAAAAACAACCCAAACACATTTCGCTGATGATGCGTCGAATATTTTTCGGTTCAGTGCTTTATTCGTGCCCCCATGCATTTGTAATACTTCTTACACGTCAACATTTTCACAGCGTGGTCCGCTTAAGGTAACAGGTGTTCATAAAATAAAGAATTTGACTCATAAAGTCGGTATCGAAAACTTAAGTTTATACAGGAAAAATCTATTATTACCTTGAATTGAAACATTGAAAGTGTTTAACACTCCTATTCTAGAGGCTTAGATTTTATCAATTTTAAGGTTTAAAGAAGATGAAGATTATTTCGCAATTTTCTCGACTTAAAATACGTAGCTTCCTACTGTTCTGGCATGTTCGAATTTCGTGACGTCTGACGCCCACTGTATCACAATCCGTTAAGTCACCTTTCGATTCAATAAGAAAAAACGCCCCAAGATGACCTATATATGTAACTAGTCGGTACACAAAATTATTCTCTGAGTCATCCTCTTGTTGCAGCGTAACTTGAAGTTGTAGGCCAAGCAACGACATTTCAAGACTCTAAGGCAGGATACAAGCTCTAAGGCAGAATATAAGGTGAGATAGGTAGAGTAACGAGAGACAATAAAGTGACTGTAACTGAAACCGAAACTCAAAGTTTCATTGGATCAGCTGAAAACGAGAAAAGACATTTAACCATAGTGTAGTCACAAGAATCAGTCACTTTCGCTATTGCGTTTGCTGTTTTCCAGTATATTTCTGACATTCAAGATTAATTTCAATCTTTCCCCTAAAGACTTTGACTGAGTTAATTCAGAATTTCATGTTGCCACTAGGCTGGTTGTCATTTAGAATCATGGCTCGAACTTTTGTATTTATCGCGGGCCTGCAAGCCAGCTGAAGTAATTTCTTGACTTTCCCACAGGATGAAATATGACTGATTTGTTTTTTGTTTTTCTTTTATTCAATTGAAATGCTCACTGTCTTGGTGAGATGTTCTGCCCCTGGCCTTGTCTAAATTTACTGGCTTTTCCAAGTGTCACATTTTATCTAATTGAGTTGTGTTCGCCGCACGTCAGTTGCGCAACGTACGGTTTCACCTTCCGGAACTACTGAAGGTAAAAAATGTCACAGTGATGATTGACACCATTTGTCAGTTATTGATGATTTGTAACGCAAGTGCGCAACAAGCAAAACCAGTAAACTATATTCGTTTGCGACCTTAAAAAAATCTTCCCAAAAACCTATGTATCGCGTGCCATTACCGCATTTGGCAAACCCCAAAATCTACAGTTGTAAACGGAAAATAAAATTGCCTTATACCTTAGCTGACATAGAAGCTTAGAGGTAAAACGATTTTCAGACAATATCGAAATCTCACCTATTTTAAGCTTTCTTGTCTGGTCTATTTGTGTTGCATGACTTAACCCGAATAGACTTAAAACATTTTGGCTCAACTACTTTATACATTTGCCTCTAAACACATACAACCTTCCGGTGTTGGCATTGCCGTTCTCCTCGTCATTTCGTTGGTTTTCCCGTCGCAATCAAAACGCCTAGGATTTGCATCAATTACGCACTTGTAAACGAGATAATGCTGTTTGGAATGATTTAGGAACTCATTCGCAAGATAACCAGGTCCCTATCTTTGTTTTATTCGATGTATTTGGGAAAATTTACCGCTACATTTTTCGCTGGATTCCCGAAAGGAAATCAAAACACTATCGTTAGCAAGCGATCCAAGATTTCAAGACTCAGTTCGCTTTTATTTAAGCAAGGCGTTAAACAATGTAAGGGCCTTTCTTTGATACATTTCTTTAACCCAATATGAAAACTCTTAGAAGGGGATGCTGTTGATTTTCATCGTGGATTCGT